TAGATCTATACATCCTTATATTTGAAAGCGAGTAACACATTAAAAAGATTTAGATCTACTGTTTCTTTGCCAGTTTCTTCTTTTTAATATCAGCCTCTACCCAAATGCACGCGCGCGCGCGCGCACACACACACACACACACACACACACACACACACACATACACACACACACTCACACACACAAACACACTTACACACACACGGACAAACACGCTCATACAAACTTGGGCACACACGCACACACACAAACACACTCACACACACGCACAGCACACACACAAACAAACACACGCACATATATACACACGCGCGCGCGCACACACACACACGCACACGCACAAACACGCACACACACAGGCACACGCACACACACACAGGCACATGCACACTCACACATGCACACGCACACACACACACACGCGCGCGCGCACGCACACTCTCTCACACATAACCACAAAGACAAACACACATACGCACACAAACAAACAAACACGCACAGACAAACACACACACACACACAAGAGACACACTGGAAGGAGCCTCCTTGCAACCAACATAATAATAATAATAATATATTAATAATAATGATAATAATAATGGCAATAATAATAAAGTAATAATAAGAATAAGAATAAGAATAACATGTCAAGGGAGCTTCAGTCGCATTCTGAATTTTTTCCTCGTTTCAGTTTTGGAGTGCAAGCTGAGGTGGAAACACCTCCGAGGCGGACTCACTCGGTACATCAAGAACGTCAAAAGGAGAAGCTCCCAAAGAGCGAAACCGATCAAACAGTTCTATTTGTGGGACGTGATGCAGTTTGTCCTCCCCTTCGTGAAATCCAGAAGTGATCCAGAGAGTTCGCTCCCTTTTTGTCTTAAACAGGAAGAAGAAGATCCCGACGAAATAGAAGGCGATCTCCTCAGTGACGATGAAGTTGATGACACCTATGGTAATAACATTGAAACGCCGGTCGAAGAAGAAGCAGCCCTGGAAACTTTCTGTGAGTTAGAACCCGTACCGACTGCATGTTTCAAGAGAGGTAGTAGGAAACGACTGAAGACACTGACCGCGGGTGATTCGTTTGAGATGGTGGCAAACCCAGATTTCGCAAGGAGCACGCCGGTCGAGAAAGCAGAAAACTTTGATCTAGACTTCTTCAAAAGTATACTCCCCGATATGGCGGAGTTAAACGCCTCGCAAAAAAGACGGTTTAAGGTGAGAGTGCTTCAGTTGTTGGAGGAATTTTCGTGTGAGGGAACTGCTCACGTTCCTTCTAGTCCTGTCATAGAAGTACGTTCCCTGGAGAAATCTTCGGAATAATTATTTAAAATTTCAAAAATATTCTCTCTCTCTCTCTCTCTCTCTCTCTCTCTCTCTCTCTGTCTGTCTGTCTGTCTCTCTCTCTCTCTCTCTCTCTCCCTCTC